AAACCCTAAACCCTACAAACCTTAAGCCCTGAACCTTAAACCCTGAACCCTAAACCCTAAACCCTGAACCCTGAACCCAGGGCACGGGAAGTCAGATCCCCAAAGCAGCCGGCTGGAGCCAAACGTCTCCAGCAGCTTCCTTGGGCGCCATGCGCTCGTCAAGACACGGTTTAGGGTTTAGGGTTTAGGGTTTAGGGTTTAGGGTTTAGGGTTTAGGGTTCGGGCTTGTCCGATGCTTCGAGAAGGGTTCTATAAGAGTTCTACAAGGGTATGCGATAGGGTTTAGGGTTTAGGGTTTAGGGTTTAGGGCTCATATAAGGGCTTTAGAAGTGCATGGGCTTTTTTGTCTTGTTTGTGTTGCCTGGTTCGTTTTGCATGTTTTCGGGCGGTAGGGGTGGGGTAGGAGTTGGAATCTAGGGTGCAGGCTTTTCGGATTTAGAAGTTTAGGGTGACAGCGTAGTTTCTGGTTGTTTTCCTTAGGAAATATGTTCTGTAGAAAAGTTCAGGATCAAACCCTGCTGTGCTGATATCTTGCGGATTACGGGGTCGATACACCCATAATACCCTAAACTGCAAACCCCCATCCCCTATACCCTAAACCCTAAACCCTAAACCCTAAACCCTAAACCCCCTAACCTGAAAAGCCTGAACCCCGGGGCTTCATTATTAGTACCTGGTCCTGGTTCAGGGGTCTTTATACCATACGTATTCTCCTAGACTCCAGATTCACAGATACCCTAAACCCTAGATCCTAAACCCTAAACCCTAAAAATCCTAAACCCTAAACCCTAAAGATCCTAAACCCTAGTCAAACCTCTAAAGGCGCCAAGCCCTGTTTCTCCAATTCCCAACTATAAAACCCCTGAACCTTTGACCTTGATTACTGGGTTTAGGGTTTAGGGTTTAGGGTTTAGGGTTTAGGGTTTAGGGACTGAATCCCATAAACCCATATAGAACAGCTCTAAATCCCCGACAAAGACCTGAACATAAGCCTGGTAAACCCGCAACAAGCCTTTCAACACCCTGGTAAGTCGCTTCACAACCCATTGACCCCTAAACTCCCTAAACGGCAGAATCTATAACACCATTCCACAGCATTAGAAAGAACAAGGGAAACCTTATACACCCAATAAATCCGCAAATCTCTGGCTGGTGTCTTCAGACGCTCCGACAGCTCCGGGAACGGAGTCTTCGCCATGGAGACGCGGAAGAGCGCGGAGATCTTTACGTGCACCTGACGGTCTTTTTCAGGGTTCTATAAGGTTTTGACAGAGTTTTTATCAAGGTCTTATAAGGTGTTCATGGGGTTTCTGACGGCGGCTTCCTAAGCCTGGTTTAAGGTTGAGGATTTGGGGCAAAAGCCGCTGAAAGAAAGGAGCCTAGGTTCTGGTGGGTCTGGGATTGAGGGTTTGAGGCTATTAGGGTTTAGGGTTCAGGGTTGTGGGTTTTGGGTTTGGGTTGAGGGTTTAGGGNNAGGGTTTAGGGTAGTGCTTTTGGGATTGGGGGATAATTTGATAGGATCCCTTCCACCAGTCTCAGACTGTGCGGGCAGAAGCGATGAAGGACTTTACTGTTACTGCTGCTACTCTGGCTGCCATCGGCAAACCACTAATGCGTGGGCCCTGATAGTTGGAATAGGGTGCGCGGATGTGTGTGTGTGTGTGTGCAT